TTCTTAAACGAAAAACAGGAAATTATGAATGACAAACGGAGCTTGGAAAAATGGGAATAACTACCTATACGCCAAATAATACAGTTCTAAGCAATTCGTGCTAGGGAGCTAGAACTACTTCAGATGATTCAGAATGGTTCCGAATCAAATTCGAATAAAACCAAAACAAACATCTGCCAAATTCTGAACCGTTCAAAGTAAACACGAACGCATATTTCAGACTATTCATGATTAGAATCGTTCGGAACGGGATTTTATGGGAACCAAAACAAAGTTTAGATAATAACATGGGAATCGTACTCGATTACTACGATTACCAGCAAGTAACGATTCTCTACTAACGAATCATTACAATATTGACATCACTAGTTCTAACGACATAATGATGATGACCATCAATAAGTCCCAAACCGACCTATGTCTGGTTGGTTAAACTTACGAACGATCCTAGCTGTTGTACTAGGTGTTGTGAGTTTGAAGTAAAATATTTTTTATTACTGAGAAATATTTATATCCAAATATATTCTTAAAATAAGTATATACAATCATTTGCCCTAAACTATTCAATTTTGTGTTAAACAAACGATACATTAATATACAATGCAAAACATGTTTCTATAAAATCATAAAATTAAGAATAGAATTCGTTAGCCGCAAGTATCAAAGAAATTATATTTCTGGATAGAAAGTATTTTCGTGCGATACCTTAAAATCAAATACATTTGAAAAAACTCATGCCGACGCGACGTAGAAATTATATTTTAAAAAGGACCCTGACTACCCCTGCCTATTTGGTTTTTCTGTTATTTTTTAAAAATATTATTTGAAAAATTATAATATCTAGTTTCAACTTAAAAAACAACTTGTATTTACATACTTATGTGTGGTTACACTGTCTGCACCCTGTTTTTATGAATCAATAGGAATATCCGACACAACCAAAATGGTTTGTTTTTTCACCAGTGAGCTTTTTCAGTTCGTTGAATAACATGATGTTTGTGGCAATTAAATCTCAGCAGCGAAATTTTAATTGATTTGACTTGATGAATGATATACTAATCATAAGACCGAAATGTAAGTGAAGGAAAATAGATCCTTTTTACTTTGCAGTGACTGCGGATCGAATGTAACTGCTCTATTTGTATGAATAGTTTGTTAATATTTTGAATTCGTACGAATACATTTTTTTACAATTCGCAATTTTTCTTAGGTTAGGTTAGGTTGCGATTATATTTGATGCTAATTGGTATAAAACACTATTTGTACGAACATTTTCATAGAACATAATTATTATTGTACTATGACATTCATTTCTTCATTGTTTAAGTTTTAACTAAAGCATCAGTCTGTGTGTCTGTGTGTGTGTGTGTGTTTTGAAATGGCACTGGTTCATCACCAAATAGCCATTCTTTGTCATGTTCTGCTTATTAATTCATTTGTTTAACTGAATTTTTATATTAAAGCATCAGTCTGTAAGAACTTATGTATTTGTTTTAATGCGACATTTCAAACAAAATTATATCAGCAATTTTTTTTTACTCGCATCTAGTGTAACCGTAGCCTAATGCTTCGCTACTTTGCATCGTACACTATAGTTCCTCTCAGTCACTTTTAATTTGTTTATGACACTGTTTACAGTCGCATGAACACAAAGAAAAGCGGAAATTAAAGGTATACGTATTGTTAGACATTTTCCAATTCATTAGTTCATATCGAAACGTCCAACCATAATGCAATAACTTTATGATTGCAAACTTTTCCAATTAACTTTAAACCTAATCAATAAACTTCATTAGTCACGCCCCCTAAGTAAATAATACCCAGTTCAAAATTGTCTTATCGATATTTAACGAGATAAATACCGGCCCACAACAGATGCTCGAAAATGAAATCGAAAGTGACACTGACCCACTTGATTTGGCCTATAGCTCCAAGTGAGAGTTATTTTGATATGGTTTGCATAATATTTTCATTTTTTTTGGTTCACTTTTAACCACAAATTGAGGTTATTTAACAATTCATTTAATATCTTGTTCTTACACAAATCCGAAACTAGATTATTTAATTTATACATCGATAATTCGACATTTGGGTTAATTTCAACACATATACATACATTTATTTACTATTACTAATTTAATTTATTGATATACGTACTACATTCCGATTTTGATGGGTAACATTTTAAAATAAATACAATAAAATTCGTGTTTTTATTAGTAAATATTGACAATACAATAAATCATTAAGTATATTAGGAAATGTTTTTAAAATTATACAATAAACCAAATATTAAAAAAATAAGGCAATAATAATCCGCAAGAAGAAACTCATTTATTTAATAGTGTTAAAATAGGTACCTACTTGTATTAATTTCTCATACAGATTCTATTTTATTTTATAATGAGAGATAGACATACTTTTGAAATTTCGGATATAAGCAAGAAGTTGCTAAGATTCTGTCATTGTTATTACATAAATAAATTTCAACATTCGTATAAAATATTTCTTATTTTAAAAAGCAACCCTTTTTCGTTTAAAATATTGAAGTCCTAGTTTTGTACATCCACTTGCCACAGGTTAATTTAATACTAGTTCAGGATTATGTAAGTAGCAAATTATTGTAAGTAGGCCATGGAACGAATATGGAAAAAATCGAAAAGTAGGTTATGGAGTAGTTATACTACTACAATTACTGGTAATGCGTAACATTTTTTTTATTTATTTCGATAATTGAATATGTAAGATGCGAGAAAACCCTGTAATGTTTATTATTAACTATAGGCTCGACTGTAGACTGTTTTTAGGTATTAATCAGATACGGTATCGAATAATTGTATAAATAAATTTAACAGTCTGTATATAGCACAAACATATATTTTAAATCTATCTGAGAAATTTATATCGAAATTAATTAGTTTTTCTTACTAAAAGAAGTCGCGAGTTCCTTCCGGTTAGACCGGAAATTGTATTTGAGGGACAAATATAGGAAATTGTGACTTTGTTAATCTTATTTTATCTTGATAATTTTGTCGTAAGCATATTTTCACTTACTCTGATAAAAAAAATTAAAATTAAATAGACTTTATGAATTGAATAAGTCCTTATTTACAAGTAAAGAAGTAGATGTACATGATGCGCGACACTTTTCTTGTATCTCCGAAGATTGACAGAAGGTACAAGGCATATATCGATAAAGTTAGCAACACTGCATTCAACTTATTTGTCTCAATTAATTGAAAACTGTTGTTGTAGTGGCGTGTTGAAATGAGTGCTACTATTCTGAATCCCCCAGCTGCGAGGTGAGGAGCATAATCTGGTTTCTTCTTGCAAAAGGAATGGCGCCGTTCCTGATTTTTAACGATTTTTAATTAAAACTGCTTATGGCGATGGTGTGATAAAAAATCATATTAATGTGTACAAGTGGTGTCGTGGGTATCAAGCTGACAGAAATAATGTTCCTTTGTGGATATGTCTTTTATTTAAGAAATAAATAAGTAAATTGAGATTTTCATTTTTGGTGTTTTTTTTTTATAATGTTATATTTGTTTTTTTTTGTGAAAGTATGTATTTGTTTAATTTATATTTTATGTACAATCCAGAGGCGTACGTAATATTTTTCTATAACTTCCAGTTGCTGAGTTTTAAGAAATATGTCTTCAATCTCTTTCTATCTTTTTCGATTTTTTAAACTTGCTTCCAAATGATGTATCGTACATGATATTTATACACACTTTTTTAACTTGTAAACATCGAAACATAATTTGTAATTCAACTCAGTGGGCTATACGTTTTTTATGAATATATTAGATATATTCTTACAACATTTAACTGTATCAAGGAACACCTCAATAACAAAAAAAATATTGAAACAATTTTCTATTTCAAATAGTATGTTTAATTAAATAGTTATTCAAAATAAAATTTAAAAATTATATGCATTAATATAATTAACACAAAAACACGTACCTAATAAATTCTAATAGTTTAATAATGTAATCATTCGAAAGAATTTCTTATATTTTTGTTGTTCTATCATCACCTTTGACAAACATCAACAAGTATATAAAAGACAGCTGCTACAAAAAGATGTTTTTGTTTACTTACAATTATTTCACTTGTTCATATGGAATTAATAAATATTTAATATAACAGAAATATAAACACTAAAGTTACATTTTGATACGATAGTGTCAAAAGTACTGATTATGACTGTGAATTGGTTTTTAATCAACCAATATTTGCCCTTTCTATTTAATTTATTTTAAAAAAACATACATCTATCTAATGTCTTATTTTGCATTTTTTATTTTTTTAATTCCACTTAATTAAAAATTTCTTGAATTTATCTCAACTAGATTAATACTTTTAGAATGTAGTAACAAGGATGTACCCAATATTTGATTTGGTGTCCAAAGCCAATCTTGGCACGAATTTTTATTTGTCTATAGTCAGTGTCACTTTTTAGTAACACCATGTTTGTATTTTGGAACGCATAGATCGTACTTGATGAGATGTACTATATGCAATTTTTATCTTTGCCGAAAATTAATTGCCAAAATTTGAAAAGTGACTTTAAACATTGAAACAAATTATGTTAGATGCTATGCTGAAACTTCTTATTAATGTAATGATGACAATAGTCAGTCCGAGTCAGTCAGTCAGTCACTATGTTCTATGTAATATTACTTTGCCATAACATTATATCCTATTTCTAACAATATTTCTCTATATACAAAATTAAACCAACGCTTTGGTAAACCGGATGTTTCGGAAACCCGGATTAACGCGGTTTAATTGATTTGGATTTATTAAGACATCATTGCAGTAATGTTCTAAACATAAAAAAAGTCGCAAAAATATCCATTTTAACACGTTTTAATAGAAGGCAGCAGTGTTCTATCAACAGCTTTGAACAAACACAATTACAAAAAATTAAAAACATTTTATACACTTTTTGTCACAAGCATCATGGAATTATTATTATTTGATTTTTTTACCTTATGAACAAGTCTTGGAAACTTTTTCCTTTTCATGGTTCACCACACAATTTCTATCACTATTAATATCGCACTACTGCACTATATCAAGAAATACACCGTTGACGTGAATGTCATTGCACCAAGTTAGCGAGAATTCTGAAATATGTAAATAAAACACCAAGCTGCCGAGGTGCAACTAAACCAATGTTTTAGTAAATAAATAAACCACACTCGACGCAGACCGTTACATGTGTAACAGAACGCTTACAGTCACTTTTTCTGCTGACGAATTCCGTACGATTTGGACACCCCATTTCCACTTACTGAAGAGAAGTTAATGAGATATGATATTTTGCAAACATTGCACGGCGACCAAGACTGCCTCGACCCAAATAAGCGTTGCTAATGGAATAAAGGTAACATCTTGAAACTGTTTAGAATTCTCATGTTTATGTTTGTGCAATTTTCTTAAGGTTAAAATTAGATATTGTCTTTAGATGAGCGTTGCCTAACCAACATTAAGATGATGTTTGTTCGCAATTGGGATATGCATAAGAGGATTATTGTTTTGTAACCATAAAATATGGCTTAATTAATTGAACTGTCGACACAACTACTTCTTACAAAATACATATTATATTTATATAGATGACATCTGAAAAGAAAGATGTGCTTTAACACACTGCATTAAAAAAACAATATGGAGAAGATTTAGAAGATATTTAGAAAAAACATTTTGTATATCAAAAATTAAACTACGGCTGAAAGGGGAAATATATTATGTGAGAATATGAAAATGAATTTAGGTGAGAATACCTATGCTCCTTCATTTTAATATTACGTTACGTTTCACCCTGTATAAATGAAGTAATGTTATCAAACAATTGAATGAAGGCAAAATCGGAGTTTATTCTTGAGACGGTTTCAGAATTAAGTAAATAAAAATATGTCCTAACAAAAAATAGGTAATTTTATACATATTAAATATTTTAATAGTGTCTTTATTTGTTCAAGCTTAATTGCTATTTCCACAACAACCTACAAAAATAAGAAAAGGCTTGTCCACCATAAAATTATTGAAAGTTGATTTTATAATTGATAATCTTTTACTTTTTTACTTTCAAAACCACAAAATTTTATAATATTTAATTTTATAAATATAACACAGAAATTACACAAATTCTGTAATAAATATTACTCTCGATCGACTACATTTTACTATTATAAAATACAACGATGTTTATAGTTTTTGGATGCTATGATTTTGAGATACAAATCCTACCTAGGTACCTATAATAGGCGAGCGGTTCACCCCTAAAAAGATGCTTCTAAATGAAGATAACCGACTAAATTTTTAAAACAAAAACCTACAGCATGAAACTTTTTTATTTTATAGTGTATTTTTCTGATAATTTACATATTTTTTAAATATTTTTCGGCGTGGTCAGTCAATTTTTATAAACAAAAAAGTTGTAAAAAAATTATTCGCCGAATGGCTTTGAAAACGACAAACTTTCGGAATTTTTTTCACAAAAACCACTGAACAGAGTTTAATTCTAAAAAAAGCATAATAATCGGCAGATCTTCTACTTCAAGATATATTTTTTTGGTATAGAACAATTATTTTATTATAGGTCTAAAGCGAGTAAAAAAAACTGTCTACAAACCGTGAAATTGTAACTCATGATCCATTGACACATGGATGGAAAATCGAAAATGGTTGTTTGGATTTTAATCATTTCGAAGGAGAAACTGCGTTAGATATGCTTCAAAAGTATTTTTGTTCATGTAGTGGAAAATTGTAACTGTTTGTCATCGAACCTGGAATGCTGTGCAGTCTGTGCGTGCTCAGGATGAATGTCAGAATGTTCCATCCGAAATTGATGATGAAACGCTTATTTCCACTCAAGACTTGTCGAAAATAACAAAAAACTTATTATTTAACAATTAAATAAAAAAGAAATTAATATACCTTTACTGCTCTTAATATTTTTGTAAAATAAAAATAAAATAATTATCCAATAACTTTTTTATTTTTCGAGACCGCTAGGACAATTATTATTATTAGATTAATTTTACGATTTCAAAAGCTTATTTGGTTTAATTTTAGTATAATTTTCAAGTCAATTTTAGCCATTTACAAAACCAAAAATTGAATATTTAAATTTTACTAATTACTTGCAAAAACCTTACTCCAGCTACAAAACCAAACAAAATGATCTTTTGAACATTTTAACTGTTAACATATATCGACTTAAAAAAATCATAAATATGTTTATTGTAAATATAATCTAATACAAGATATTGTAAAAAGAAAATTTTAATTTGAAGTGTTATCATAATTTTCTTTAAATGACTTTTTTTACTCGCTTTTGACCTTCAATAAAATGATTGACCATATACAAAAAAATATATCTTTAAGTAGAAAATCTGCCGATTATTATGCTTTTTTATAATTAAAATGTGTTCAGTAGTTTTTGAGAATTCCGAAAGGTTGTCGATTTCGTCACTTTTTTCACATTAAATTGTAAATATCTCGGAAACGAAACATTTTTCGAATTTTTGTCAAAGAACAAAAAGAAGATTTTAGAGGAAATAACTATTTTCAGTAATTCAGTAATTTTTTTTACAACTTCTTTTTATAACAATTAACTGACCACGCCAAAAAATATAAAAAAATACGTAAATTATCAGAAAAATACACTTTATAAGATAAAAAAGTTTCGTGCTGTAGGTTTTTGTTTTAAAAATTTAGTCGGTTCATGCCTTTTATTTAGGGGTGAACCGCTCGCCTATAAATTTTTCCATTATCCTACTGAATGGGAAGAAATATTAGTTTCCTGGATTTTAAGGGATTTCGCTTGTTTCTCCAAAAGAGAGAAAATATGTGTGAATTAAGATTTGGTTTTTCAGTAAAAATGGATAACAAAACGAAAATAATTTTCCAGGGCTTTAGTACTGTAAGATAATTAGAATGGGTACCTCCATTTACTATTGGTATCGATATTCAAATAGTCAATGTTAATTTTGGAAAAATCAGGTGTTCAAAATTAACTAATACGTTTGGTTTATATACAAGATGTGGTGAAAGTCCATCAGGAAACTCCGGGAGGTGATTCTAGGGATTAAAATAATAGCAGTACGTAATGAAAAATTTTTTCAAAATGTCAATTGCTTGCAAGATACAGCTTCAATTTTTTTGTTTTTCTTTTTAAATAATTTATTTAATTCAAGTTCGATTAGTCTCTCATTTGGCACACCAACCAAGTAGATCAAACTCTACTCTACCCTAGTGATGCTATCGATTTATTTGTACTACAAAAGAGATGCATTAGAAATATTCTAAACATGAAACAGACAGATAGCTGTAAACAAATTTTTATTGAAAAAAGAATACTTACCTTAGTGAGCTTATACATATATGAAGTAATTATATTTGTTAAGCAAAATATAAACTTATTCGCAGATTTTAACTTATCTCATTTATATGATACCAGAAACAAAAATACATTAGTGACTGAAAATATAGTAAAATATAGTTATATTCAAAGGAATGTCCCATATTCATTACTAAAAATTTATAATAAATTACCTCTAGATATAAGAAATTTATCGTGCAAAGATATTAGGGTAAAATTAAATAAAATTCTTTTAGACAAAGCATATTATACTTTAAAGGAATTCTTTGAAGATAATATATATTGATTTATTGTCATTATACTATGTATGTATGTATCAGTGCATAAATTGTGTTATTTTGTTCGTGTTTACTTATCAGCAATGTTAGTATTGGTGTGCATCTTGTTTTATATTTAATATTACTTCTTATATTTAAATATTTTAATTTTTTACTATTTTTTACTACATATTGACGAGTTCTACACCCTAAGGGTATTTTGTAATTATTATGCAAAGTGAACTAATAAAGATTTTACTTACTTACTTACTTACTTACTAAACCATTCACAGAAAATTTTTATTATGCGCCGCTAGTGGGCATTTCACCTAGAACTCAAAATTTATTTTGTTCATAACTTTTTTCTCTTACTAGACATCACAGAAATTTAAACACTGTTGAAAGAAGAAACAATATTAGAAAAAAATATATACCTACTTTTTATTCAAGCGGATAAATGTAACCGTTTAGCAGGAAATCGATATTAAAGTTTTATTAAACATTACATTTTTGATAATTCTTTCTGTAATTAATCAATTTGACATGCTTCAACTAAATGTCATTAGAAATTATGGAGTTACGAATTGTAACGAAAATTGTTTAAAACAAGTATAAGTTTAATTTTTATCTATATTGTTTTTTTTTGGCTCTGTAATAAATAGCATTGTGGAAAAATAAGATAAGGATAATAAATTTATTAATATTTTATTTCCTAAAGCTGGTTTTACAATTCGTAACACTAATGACATTTATTTGAAGCACCTTGATTGATTACAGAAATAATTATCAAAAATTTGATGTTTAGTAAAGTGATTATAGCGATTTCCTGCTAAACCGTTACATTTATCAGCTTGAATAAAGAGTATCTACATATTTTTTTCTGATAACGTTTCTCTTTTCAATAATGTTAAAATTTCTGTGATGTCTAGCAAGAGAAAAATATTATGCACAAAACAAATTTTGAGTTCTAGGTAAAATGCCCTCTAGCGGTGTATAATAAAAATTTTCTCCGAATGGTTCAATAGAGCTTGATCTACTTAGTTTGTGTGCCAAATGAGAAACTAATGGAAATTGAATTAAATAAGTTATTTAAAAAGAAAAAAAAATGAACTTTGACAAGCTGTAATTGCAAACAATTAACAATTCGAAAAAAATTTTCATTGCATACTGCTATTATTTTAATCCCTAGATTCCTAGAATCACTTCCCGGAGCTTCCTGACGGACTTTCAGAACAGCCTGTATAGCTGCAATAATAAACAAACAATACTGTCAGAAACAGCTATTCTGAGTACTACAACCCCGTCCAATCCACTGGCTTTTAGCGCCCTATCAAAAGAGTGTGCCCAATTTTATATGCCTTCATAGAAAAAAATGCATGTGTAAATTACTAAATTCACCC